TTCAAAATGGCCAATGCCAGTCCATTTCAGCTCACTAATGCCTAAGATATTGATGTTCGTGCATTCCATTTCATTTTTTGACAACTTCCAATTTTCCTAGATTCATACTTTGTACATTCTATGTTCTGATTATTAATGGATGTTTACAGCTGTTTCTCTTCATTTTGAGTTGTGCCCCATCAGCAAATGAAGGTCCCGCAGGCTTTACTCCCACGGGCTTTACTCCATTCACGTCATCATGGTCAACTCTACTTTGAGGAGGCATCTCTTCCCCAGTCACATTTTGAGTGTCTTCCAACCTGAGGGGCTCATTTTCCATCACTATATCTGACAGTGTTTTCTGCTATTCATAAGGTTTTCAGTGACTAAATATTCGGAAGTAGTTGTCACTCCTTCCTAGTCTGTCTTCTTCTGGAAGCTCATCTGAAACCTGTCCACTGTGGGTGACCCTGCTGGTATTTAAAATACCCATGGCATAGCTTTCAGAATCACAGCAAATCACAAGCCACCAAGTACAACAAACTGACAGATGAGTGGTGGTATGTTTCATTGACATCTACTAAAGGTCATGAAAATGGACCTGCCGTGAGACCCTGCATGGGACCTGGCTGTTTTGGCTGGAGGTTGGTGGGCATGTATGCCCGGCTCAGGGAGCTGGGTGAGGCCAGCAGGGCGAGGCACAGGCCCTGTGGAGCATATGCAGGCTCTGAGTGTGTGCAGAGGGCACCAGCCGTGTTAGGGGGTGAACTGTGTCCCCCAACATCTGCATGATATATCCTAACCCTGTGGCTGACGTGGCACTGGAGGATAAGCACTGGATCATAAGGTCAGTTTGAACTGCAAGGTTGGGGGTTCAAACCCACCAGCCACTCCTTGGAAACACTATACAGGGTCATATGACTCGGAATCCACTCGACGGCACTTAACAACAATATACGTTAATGAGAGACGGTGTCAGTGGAAGTCAGTGTCTTCTGAGATATCAAAGCCAGGAAACAGGCAGCGATGGAGGACAAGAGATGCCAGGTGAAGACCACCCCCAGGACCAAAAAACAAGGGCCTCCCCCCAGAGCCAACAGATAGTACCGCCCCCTAAGCTGACGCCCTGAATTCAGACTGAGAGGAACAGGCTGCGTGGGGAGCCAGGCCCAGTGATGCTCCAGTTTCTGCCATGAAACCAGGAAAGACAGGAGATGCTTGAGGGGCTGCCCTCCGCCTGTCCTCGCCCACCCGCTGTGTCCACTGCCCACCCCCCTTCATTCGCGGCTTCCCACGGGTCCACTGGCTCACCCTGGATGGTGCTCTGTGTGTCCTCGCTGTGGCTCACGGGGCTTGTCATCTCCTGTTCTTTCTCATTGTGCATCTGTGCATACACCGTCCGGCCAGGCCGTTTCCTGCTGGGCATGGGGAAGGGGCGGGAGTGGTCAGCTTGGGCCAGGCCACTTGCCCCTGGGCACCGTTCATGTGGCACTTCAGCAGGCTGACTCTCAGTTCCTACCCAGTCCCTGCTCAAAGCCACCTCCTCCAGGAAGCCCTCCTGGGTGCCTGCCCTGCCCAGCATCCGGGATGCCCAGGTCTGCTCATATGTCTCTGTGACACTGGACAAGGCATGAGGGAGGGGCAGGGAGCACCATTTCCCACCAAACAGGAACTGCAGACCCAGCTCCCGAGGCCAGAGGTGAGGGGCAGTTCTTTAGCCCAGCTGGGCCTGGGGCATACCACATTTAAAGCCCCAGAGAGTCCAAACCAAACCGAGTATGGGACCCTCTTGTACCCTCTGACTGAGGATGGAGTGAGGCTTGGGAGGAGCTGGTTACTAAAGGCGCTGGTGGAGGACTCAGGCCTGGGCCACTTGACCTGCTCTGGTCGGTGTGACCCTAAACTGGAGGTGTGTGTGTCTGTGCGGGAGGGGACAGGGTGGGTCTCCTCCGAGCCCTGGATACCATGGGCAGTGCATGGAGCCATCTTGCTTTGAAGGAGCACACTGGCTGTATTTTTCTCCAAGACTCATTTGTTCATTGTTTCACCTGTAGGGCCTTGAAGTTCTGCCTTCCTTTCTTTTTCTCCTCCTCCATTTTCTCTTCCTCCTCCATCCATCTCCTTGGTCCTCTTTTACAGATGAGGAACGTCAGAGTCAGAGAAACAAAACCAATGACCTGAGTCACAGAGCTGGGGAGTGGCAGGCCTTGGCCCATTAGTTCTTCAAACTTCAGCCTTCCCCTTTTCTCTCCTGTTTTCTGGAGCCTTCCACTGCGTGTGTGTTCGTAAATGTGATGGTGTCTTCAGCACGGCTCATGTTTCGTCATTTGTGTTCTTTTCTTCCCACTCCTCAAACTGCATGTCTTCAAGTTCTTCATTCTCTCTTCTCTTTGCTCAAATCTGCTGTTTGAGACCCTGCAGCAAGTTTTAAAATTTCAGCTCTTATACCTTTTAGCTCCAAGGAGCTCTGGTAGCATAGTGGTTACAAATCGGGCTGCTAATCT